TGATGCAGGGCTGGCCTCGGGGAGCCGGTGGGAAGCGTCGGGAGCAGGACAGGGAATAACCTCCCGCACTCACTTGTTGCGGTCAGCCCCCAAGCAGCAGATGGAAGGAAAGGGCAAAGGCCTCGAATACTACCTCTCCCGGTTCCTTTGCCTCGCCAGCTTTGTGCTGCTGCTGATTTTTCTGGGCATCCTCGTGGTGAAGATGATTGGGTCAGGCTGGCTTGACAGGAGAGAGGAGAACTGTACGTGCGCTGGTTTAATCTTGTTTTTAAACTTTATTCTTCACCTTTCTTTTCTGCTTTCCCTTTATTACTTCCATCGCCATCACGTTTATCATTCTCATTGCTGTAACCTGACATCTCTGCTTCTGTCCCCATTTCCATCTCCCCTTGCCCATGGGAAACCTTGTTAGTCATGGAAAGTAAGTCAAGTGTGTGCTTTTTTTCAAATTAGTTTGGCCTTCAGTCCTTCAAACCCGTGGGTTTTATGGAGAGTGACGTTCCTGCTAGGCCAAGGATGTATTTGATGATTGTCCATTGTGTAACATAATGGCTGTGTAATTGTCCATTGTGTGTTTTTGATGTCAGCCTCTGCAAAGCACGGCCCTTTGTGGCCTTTATCCTGGCCACGGGAGAAGCACAGCGCTTGAATTGCTACTTCGGCACTTCAAGTGTGGCAGAGCTTTGATGAGAAATGCAAAGGGGCTTCCCCATCACCCAGTTTTTAAAGCAAGAGTTCCCCAGCTAGAGCAGATGGAAATATTGTCATTTCATGGCTTTGAACTGAAAGAAGAAGGGGTTTGGGAGGTGGTTGGGAAGGTGCGCGTCCTGAAACTCGGCATGCTGTGCCGGTAGGTGTTTGTGCACTTTGTGTGGGCTGGGAAAGCTGTTTGCCTGCTTTCCCAAAGTTAGAATAAAACTGTCCAATGTCATTGAATTTCTGATGCACCCTTTACGACTTTGTTAGCTATTTCAAAACCAGTGGTATTTTGAAGCAAGAAATCTTGTGGCACAGCTGCAAATTCTTTAAATTCTCAGGTAGTTAAGATTGCTAGAAAGTACTGCATGGTGGTCCGGTGGCTGGTGTATATCCAGTTGTCGGGGCGGGAGGGAGCTGTTAAACCAGAGGCCATAATCTGCAGAGCTAACGGCTCCAACTAAAATAAATCCTCTGCTTTTGCCTTGAGGAGGCTTGATTTAAATCCCTGTTATCACCGTGGTATTTCAGGTGACCGTGGCGTGCAGCGAATGGCATTACTAGATTGTAAAAGATCAGTGCCAAGCAGTGGATAGTAAAGGACCGTGAAACATCTACTTAAACAGGAGCTGTTAAAACATCCAGACCCCAGTTTTTACTTTCCAGCTGAACAGAGTTCATCACTTGCACCCGTTTTATTTGTTCGGCTTTCAGTGCTGCCTACCAAAGCAGCGCTTTGAATGCGCTATTTGCATAGCAAGGTACTGTGTAGAGGGAGATTAAGAATAGCAGAATCAGGCTTTAAAGTAGAGCCTTCTTTGAAAAAGATAATTACTTTCTTGATCAAAGCTCTTGTTTTGCAGCCAAGCTAACTCGCCCTCCCCTTCTCTCTCATAGTTAATCTCTTGCCTGTGGATTGTGACAGAAGAACGGATGATGTAAGCATATATTTATTTATCTTCAAGTATTGTGGATAGGGGATTCTCACAGAAGAGTAATTCTTTTAGGTGACTTCCACCAATATCAGTATTGCTGTAAAATTATTCGTTCTATCGTTTTACAGAAAAATTGTGACTTGATGAGTTGGAATTAATGGGCCAGATTAAATTAGGACTGTGTATGAGAGACTGAAAGATAAAAATTTAAATTCCCAATTATGTGAATCAATTTCTTTAATAGTTGTAACAGAAGCGATATTGGTTTGCAATAAAGCTGTGTTCAGCTTTAACAATGCAAGATTTCATCCAGCGAATTCCCTGAACTCCATCATAAAGTGTTTGTACAGCCCTGTTTCTTTTATCATAACGTATTATTAGGAGAGAGGAAAATTTCGTATTGGATTCGGAGTTACGGTTAGTCTCCTGTGATGTTCTGGAGGCAAAGAATCGGTCTGTGGTCGGTCAGATGGGATGTCTGGTGGTGCCGCCTGGGCTGTGGGCCGGGGGAGTCGGTGGCGCTTTCAGAGGATGCGCTAGCTCGCTTTTGATTCCGAAACTGTAGATCTTTGCTGCAGGTGTGTTTAACTTGAACTAGTGGTGCATGACTGAGCCAAACCCCACTGCTGGTATTTTGTTTCGGTATTTTTAGCTACTCTGACCACTGTCCTGTTGCTGACGGTCTACTCACGTTTGTTACCTGTTTCTGACTTTCAGTTCTGTCAAGCTAAACAGAAGGACATAATAATGAACATGCTGCACGAGTTGTATAACTACTTGTCCATACAAGCTGGTAAGTTCCAATTCTCATTATAAAACACTTATGAGCATTCGGCAAATGGCCTCTCCCAGCTGTCTGGACAGTTTTAACCTCAGTTTGAAGAGAGGAGTTTATGGAACAGTCAGTTCCGCTTGAAGAGCTCTGAGAAAGTCAGGTAATAGAAAAATAGAAAAAGATGTGTTTATTTTTATTCTGAATAGTGCTTAGCTAATGCACTCGTATCACTGTGCTCTTGTGGAGTGGTCCTTATTTACACTTGATATATTGGGAATTTGAGGTAGAAATATTCGTTTTTATGGTTCTTTTCTACCAACATCTTGAAATTGTCTTCAAGACACTCAGAGCCAATAAGTGTAAGCTGATATGGTCTTACAAATAAAGCGACTTAAGAAATTGCCAGCTCTCTGCTGAAATGTAGCGGCTGATGATGTGAGCGCCTCTATTTTTTCTCAGTGCAGAGTAAGACAGGCTCTCCTAGCTGAGGAGCTGACCGAGCACAGTAGTTCAGCCAGTTGCTACTATGTATGAGCAAATCTGGTCCATAACTAGTATTTTGTGATGGAGAAGGCTGCTAGAAATTCAGTGGATGAGTAGAAACTTGTTCAGCAAGACGTATAACAGCATTAATCAGTAACAGTGCTTAAGTTCCATTTTCTAGATTTCAGACCTCAACAAGGCTGAAGCCTTTAGATACTTAAGCTTCACAGGATTTCAAAATCTTTCCAAATCAGACTTCGGCACTTGCAGAATTTCCACCAGTTTTACTTAGTCTCTCAGCACATTCATTTAATCAACTTTGTGAAGCAAGATTTAGAAGATTTAGTTCCTTGCCAGCATTTCTCTGCTTGGGTAAAAGGTAGAGCTGCGATTTTGGCTCCTTAGAAGCATTTTGAATGCTGATCATTAACTCGAACACCGCAGTTTTTGATACCTGATGGAAGGGCATTAGGTCACAGAGGTGGTTATGTACTCTGCAAATGGGAGAAACAGTATTTTTTTCCCCTCATTCTGTGTTGAGTAGCTCACACACTGAAGCATGAGGTTTGATTGCCCTTATCCAGCCTATATGCAGTGGCTGAACATTTTATTAATAGTCGTAATCTTATCTGCCTACAGTATAAATCTTACCTTGTAATCATTTTGCCCAGAGCTATAGCCAATTTTAAAGGATAGCACTTCCAGACAGTTCAGTGTATTTCTGAACTGTTCAAGGGCTTTTTTTCAAAACATTATTTCTATTTCACTTTTTTTTACCAGGTAATTTTGAATGCGGAAACCCTGAGAATCTAAAAAGCAAATGCATTTGGGTTAGTGAAGCGAGGGATCATGTGCTGGTGAGTATGCTGTGAACAGCTTTGTTATAACATAGTGCTTAGTCTCTTATAAGGCAATAAATAATAGATACTAAAGCAATTTACCATCTGTTTTACTTCCTCATCCTGTTTTGTTTCTTTGCCATATCTCTAGCTTCCCCTTTGGCCAGTCCTGTTCTCAGCAGTTCTTTTGAAAGTAATCTTCTCCTACATCCCCGATTCAGACCCTGTAAATCTAACTTAATGGTTTGTTGTTTCACCATAGTCATCAGTCTTCTGAAACCAGAAATTTCCCTGGATTGAGGGCTGGGCAGAAGAAGGATTTTTCTATACCCCAAAGTGTCAGAAGACAGACTGCTTTGATCTAGCATTCCATTTCTTTCATGGTAAACTGTCAGTAAGATTATGTCGTATTTAGTGGTTAGTCTTAACAGTCTGGGATAGTGTTATTTTACAGAGTGCTTCATGCATCATCTACCATAGTCAGAAGACTTTAGTCCAGACAGCCCTTCAGATTTAGTTCTCCTTCCTCCAGATTGCAGAATTATGATTAGAATTAACCTAGGGACAGACTGTATTAGAATGAATTCTCCCACTACTGTAATGAAATAATGTTATTCAGTATTTTAAATGAACGGAGAACTAATCTTACGGATTCTTTTGAACAGAATGTAACCGGTAGTTCCCCACAGAAGTTTGAAGCTGCCTTGCACTGGATACTAAACAGTAACAAGGATTTAGGGATATGGTAAGTGGAAGCCCACTGTGTCAAAGTTATGTTTCTCGGTGTTGGCTGATACGTAATTTGACATCCTCTGTGGTGGGCCCTAAAAGCCTCCCATACCTCGTTAGATTTCAGAAGATAATCTGGGATTGGCTTTGTCAGTGCTTGCTGGGCAAGCTTCCAAATGAAAAGTACAGCCCTGCAAGCAAAAACTGGCAACTGAGCTCATTCCCTGGGAGTCTGTTTCCCAGCCTTTGCACCGGGGGACATCGCGTTCGTGAACGCACTGTCCTGCAGATGAGGCGTAAATCTGAGGTCAGGGCTGCTTATGGCTATTGAGTTATGTTGTGCTTCCTGCAAGGTTTAGAAGTGGTGGTCCTGGTGTCCTGCCCACGGTCCTGCGACTACTGTACTCTTGTTAAACTTGCCCATATACTCACTTTTCCCAAGATACCTTTTCTTCAGTAGAGTTACTGTAGGCAGAGCTTCAATATTGTGTGGAGCTGCATCCTTTGACCAAAAGGTTTATTGGACAGCAAAGCACTCTCTTCAGTAGGTAGCATCATCCATGCATTGGGATCCTTTGGAGCAAGTCCCGGTGAGGAGGAGAGGAAATTGGATTGTTGAATGGTATCTTTCCTTCAGTGTCAGTTGTCTTTTTGGCAGAACACACAGTACATGTTAAAATGAATGGTCTGAGTGCCTATGTAGGGTGTTGGTTGATCATCAGTGGGGCTTTTTTTCTCTTGGGTTTCTTGGCTAGCAGTCTCTTCAGTACATGAGAAATAGCAGAAATACTATTTTTTTCGGGTAAAAGAATACATCATTCAGGCCGTAACCTAATGAAAGACTGTTATCCAGAGTCCACAGACATCATTACCTTCCTCTGGGAAGTGCGGGCTGCCTCCAGTCTGTGTTAAGTCTGAAGTCGAACATTTGTTTGCATTTTAACACTGCTAAATGTATCTCTGATTAAATGAATTGTAACAGTAGTAACGCTGGAGTTGGTGGGTATAGCTTGTATGAATTCCCACTGCTCGATTTTTCTCTGAAAAACTTCTGCAGCTGCTGCTATGATCTAAGGATCAGACAGTGTCTGCTGCTTTGATTATTGGTGTGTGGCGAATTCCCAGGACAGGACATAGCTTCCTTAGTGGCAGGTTTGGATTTGTAGGTGGGCTGGGATCCAGAGTTTTCAAATTCGTATTTTTATACAGGAGCACTGCTCATGTCAGGAGCCGTGTGATATAATACACTCCCATTTTTTTATTTTCATAATTAGCAACTCTGCCGGCTGTTTGCCAAATGGATCCACTTTCACGAAGTCTGCATAGCGTGCAGAATGAGTGTTCGGCATGCCTAAAAACCTGCGGGTGGCATTTTTAGCAAACGCTACATGAGATTATTTTCTAGGTGCTAGTCTGAGAGGCAGAACTGAAAATGAGCTCTGCACTGGGTGATTCTGCTGCATATTTTAAATATTTTAATGGAATTTGGATTGTAAATAAGACAAGGGGGTGGGAAACAACTGTGTGTCTCCAGCTACTGTAGAATCCAGTAACCAGATACAAGCTGTCAGCAGTTTGTGAGCTGTGCACTAGTACATTGAGAAAATGTCTTTGTCTAATAGGTTTTTCGTTGCAAAACTAGAATGAATTAGTAGCTTAAAAAAATAAAATCCCCTTTAGTCCAATTCCTCTGAATCTGATGGCTCTCACTTGGATTACTTGATGCCTGTTGGCTAAGAGTATCTAATAAGGAAACCGCATCAGTGTAGATCTGTATATAAAGAAGTGCGTTAAAAGCGTATCGGGTAGCACAGCAGGTGTGTAGAAGTGATTTTGCAGGAGGATGTGTTATCGATTTTGCCATGAATGCTTTCCGAGGGTGTGTCTGTTTCTCACTGCAGATACAGTTGATGCGTTGTCACTTTTCTAGCTAAACTGTTTATGCTCATCTGTACTGAGGAAAACAGCACAACCTCCACGGACATTCACAGTCTCCCTCAACTGCTCTCTCTGCAATTGCTGATGAGTGACTCAGTAAACATTTCCATTTCTCTGTGCTGGGAGGTGGGAATCCAATTTAAAGTTTAATCTTCTGCATGCTGAGAGGTGCTGTCACAGAGTCTGCAGAGGGAGACTTCAGTTTACCAGTGGGAGTTCAGCCCTGCTGCCTTTTCTAAAGCCATATCCATTCCTTGCTAAGCAGCTAGTCCCAAAATGTTCTGGAAAGAGGAGCTGCGAGGATGTTGGTGTATTTTCTATGTGGTGTACAAAACGAGTTACTGCATCTGCAGTCTGTTTGTTCTCCCCGTCTTGATTAAAGACTGCAGTTGGAGTGTCTGCTCTCTTCTGTGAAGATTTTCTGCCTCTTCCCATCAGGTTGAAAGGCAGAGACCTTTCGGAACCAGTTACCAAAGTGGAGGAAGTGTTCTGTCTCGAATCGGCCCATCCTCAGATGGGGCTCGGCTGCCGTTTCCGCCGAGCAGTGGTCACTGCCGCTATGAACCTTTTCCTGTTCTTCTGGAGTAAGTCGTCGGTGTTAGTAATCAGCTTCTCCCCTTGCTAGCTGTAGAGATGAACCTGTGCACGTTTTCCCAGCCATATGAAATTACTAACAGAGGTGAAATAAATCTGCTGATGAGTTAATTTCTAATTAACCTTTGTTCTGGCAGCAGAGGGAGACCTGTAGACCTGCTCTTGTGCTGTGAGTGCTTAACACTTAGCTAATCAGCTTGCTGATTTAAAGTATCTGGGTATTCCTCAAGTACTCATTACTATGGTCTGCAAAATGAGTATGCTAACCTACCTAAAAGATTCGTTTTTTCTTTCTTTTCTTGCACTAAGCTGCAAAGTATTCTAGCCTCTTTAATAATGACTTGTAGCGTTTCAGTGTTAGAGGTTTTATTGGAATAGTCTGTCATGCCCCAGCTGAGACAGAGGTCTTGCTGAGCAGGGTGATAAGGAGAGATGAGTGTCGAGTAGAAGAGTTTCTAATCTAGCCAGACAAGGTGGGGGTGAAAGGGGGTAGTTATGTTTATTGTAGAGACTTGAGATACTAAAGTTAGCTCATGCCGTAATGGGGGCGTTTGTCAATGCTAAACCTTCAATATAGATCTGAATTTCGGGCTGGCGCTGGAGCCCCAGGCTTTATTTCCTTATCAAGCAGCTATCTTCGAAGCAGTGGAGCTTGACAGTCTTCCTAAGTGATTATTGTGGGAGAGGCCTCTAGCAAAGAGATAGCTCTGGGACTTGGAGAATGAAGCCCTGTGGTTGTGCTGGGGTTTCTGGTGTGGGGGGAAAAAAAAAAAACCTCCATGATGAGGCCTTCCAACCACCTCTTTCCACATGCATGCGTGCTCTTCTGCTGCAGGTGTTGTCAATACCAAGGTTTTTGTGGGGCACAGCTGCACTGGTGAACAAAATGAATTAATTGGATTCAGTTCCAAGCAGTCCTGGGGTAGCAGGGAGTAAAAGCTGCCTCTGGGGAGAGGCAGTGTCAGAAATAAAACTGCTAGCATCCAGCGAGTACATGTCTGTCAGTTATTGAATTCCATTTGTTTTTATTCTTCTAGGTCTGATAACTCTTTGGGGGATCCTGATCTTCCTTAGGTATCGCTGGCGGAAGATGGAGGAAGAGGAACAAGCCATGTATGAAATGGTGAAGAAGATCATAGGTAGAATCCAGTAGCTGTGTAAATGCAAGTAGCCCTGTTCTTCTCCCTGCAGTGTTGAGGTCTCTCACCGTTTTGTCCTCCTGCCCTCCAGCTGTTGTCCAGGACCACTATAAGGAATGGGAACGGAATTTGGAACGCTACCCCTATGTTGGCATTTTCCACGTTCGGGACAGCCTCATCCCTCCTCAAAGCAGGTGAGCTGAATTTTATTCATTAAGGAGGGCTGTCAGTGTGATGTTACTCAGCTCAGCTAAAAACTGCAGTTACGGGGCAACAGACCGTGAGCAAACAGTTGATGGGAAGCTGGACCTTTCAGTTTATAAAGGATTTTGACATAATTCAGGCTATGTCTTAACCTGCTGCAGATTAATGTGACAGTCCCGGGGCTGATATTTTGTGCAGTCACACAGGTATATTGTCATTTTCTATCAAACAGTAATTGGATTTTGTTTTGCTTGGGTATGGAGTATCTGATTTTCTCTCCTTCATCTAATGTGTGTAGGATGCTATCCTCTTTCTCAGCCGTTGTACCTTATTCTCCGGACAGGTGCTGAGCTTTTTGGAACAAACCTTCCCATGAGGTGAATAGGGTGCTGGGCTCTTCTGAAGCGGTCGTGTATGTTGCTGCCTGGAAAGTTAACCGGTTTGAGTTGGGCAGCTTTGTAAGGGAGATGTAGTGAGGTGGCTGGTCTTGGTGCTTTTTCAAAAAGGAATTGTGGTCGAGATAGTTGCTCCATGGGTGGTGGGGTCAGAGGGCTGCAGCCTGGTTCTCGGTGGTTTACGTGCCACTTGCTCCATCTCTGCAGGAATGTTCCTTGTGTTTTGGTTAAATGGAGCTACTTTGTTCTCCTAACGGCACAGAACACTACGGGTGCTGCAGAGTCTTAAACGTTCTCACCCTTTATCAGTCATGATACCACTAGTAGGAAAAGGAGTTATTTCAGCTGTTTTGAACCAGTCTCTGTGTCTGTGGTGCCCAGAATTACTAGACACTGATTCAAAGCTGGGGTGAACTTCAGTTTGTCCTCCCTGGTCTGAGACTCTCTGCTTGCAGGAAGGGTGAGGGCAGTTTGCTAATCGAGTCCCTTCACAATACGAATTGAGCTTGAAATTCAGGGCAGTCGTCAATTACTGGTACTGACAGAGGGTCTCATCTTCCCCCTCCCCAGGCAGGACCTATGTTTAACTGGCCTGGCCTGAAATTGCTTCTAAACCAGAATTCTCGTTTAATCTCCTTTACTGTCTGCACAGGGAACAGGAGGCAGCTAGCAGTAGCTTGTTCAGCAGCCACAATTGCTGTAAGCAGGAAAGCACAATGAGGATATGATTCTAATTTATTTTCTTTTTGTTGCTGTTCCTTGCAGAAAAAAAATGAAGCGGGTCTGGGAGAGAGCTGTGGACTTTCTGGCTTCAAATGAGTCACGGATTCAGACAGAGTCACACAGAGTAGCAGGAGAAGATATGCTTGTGTGGAGATGGACTCAGCCTTCTTACGTCTCGGATTCAGAGCACTGAAGAGGAGCAGAAGTTGAGCAACTGTTGATATGGACCTCTGCAAGGGGACAGTCCCTTCTCTGGTGATGGGAAAGAGCAGGTCACGGTCCTAATCTCCTGGGGTTGGGGATTGCACGTATCTGTTTGCTCTTCTTTCTGAAAAACTTCACACACAAAAATTCAGGGCAATAATGTTGGCTTGGAAAGAAGATGGGCTTGAGCTGGTGGGAAGCTAGAATTGCACCAAAGTTAGCCTTCCAGCAGATATCTGGCTTCCGTAAGCAAGCAAACCTAGAACAACTTTTTAAAAAGAAAAAAAAAACCCACCATACCTAATATTGAGGGTGTTTAAAATTTGACCTCAATTCTGCAAAGGCCAACTGGTGGCAATGTCCATCAGGGAATGTGTTTAAAGAAGATTAACATTTCCCATGGAAACATAAGGGTGGCAGTAGTTAAGATGCATTTTGTTAGAATTTGGTTTTATCAGTACAAAAACAGTGATGAAAGCACTTGCTGCTTCCTGGTGAGGAAAATGTTTGTGTCGGCTTCACCCTTTAAAAATGGGGGAGAGGGGGGAAAAGTCAGGTGAAGGTAGTCCTAGAGGGAGGGCAGTCTGATGTGCCTTGGTGGTTTGGGCTGGGTTGGGTGGGACGGAGGAGCGGTTGTGACCCTGTTACACCTTTTAAGTCTGCAGTCTGTGTGCTTTGGGATTTCGGGGGGGGTGGGGTGGGGGGAATTTGGGTGCAAAGTAAAGTATATAGGAAGCTTCAGAAAGCGCTTTCTTGTGGCTACAGCCAAAGGGACTGCTTCATGGGCTATTAAAGAGCAGCTTTGGAAAGGCTGTTAGGGCTGAATGTACATGTTTATCCTGGGCAGCTGCAATGTGTGTGCTGCGTGTCAGAGCAGGGGTGTGCCACGTGTGGAGTGTCAGTACAGGGATTGCCAAGTCAATGTTCCTGCAGCCTCACACTAGGTACAAGGAGCAGCGATCAACCCTCTGTTCGTGCTGCAGGCATCCTATTTTGTATCTATAATCATTTGGTTACTTAAGTTTCTTTTTATGTCCGGCAAACGAGCGTTTGTTTCAAAGAAAATAGCACCAGTGTGTGGCAGTTTAGGCTAGGCAGAGATACTGCTAATCTGCTCTTCCCAGTATTGTAAAACAGCTGTCCAGCTCACCACTGAAGACAGCAAGGACCAAATTAATTTCTGACGTAAGCTAGTAAAACCTGCAGAGAGAAGCCAGCGTTGATTTGAACCCCTGTAACCAGTGGATGTTGTTCTTAGCGTCACGGGTACGGTGTGAACGCTTGCATTCATCTCTGGCGCTGGATGCACGGAGAGCTTCCTCTCCAGGCTCTGGCTTGGCTTAGGACGGCTGCCGAAGCCCTGCTCGCCGCTTTGCAAGGCTGGTGATGCCCCGTACAAGGTGGGTTCCTTCTGCCAGTCCCTGCTCACCTCCCGGTGTGAAGTCTGCACTTCTCCGCCCCACTGCCGGCTTTGGTGGGGTTTTCCACCTGCGCGCCCCGCGGGCTGCTGCAGAAGGACTGCAGAGACTCCTTACGTACCTCCTGCTGGCGGTCATCCACCGGAACGAGTGGAGAGAGCAGATTTCTCCAGGAACAAAACACAGGGAGGTCTTTCCCATTCAATGGGAAATATTCTGCGTGGAGTTGACTCTTACCCCGTATTTTCTTTTCGGTTGCAAAGGGGAAGGCGTTTGAACAGACGAGGAGACTCAACAGCTGTCTTCAAGACAATGACCAGCTTCTTCCACTGGTAATAAAATAGGGGATAAAGGGAAGGCAGCCTTGATTCTTCTAGAATGTTGTAACAAGATCGTCACTGCTGCCGTAGAAATGTTTGCAAACACCGGTGCCTACATTCTTAAGCCTTTTTAAAGTATTTGTGGGGTTTGGGCTAGCTTTTTTTAACCGTCCAAATCCAGAAGTGGAGAGTCAGGCATTGGCAGTCATCTTTTTGTATTACACTTGTTTTTGTAGAATAAATTTCACTGGCTTGGTGCTGTTTCTTACATGTTCAATTTAGCTCTGTAAATCAATATATAAAATAAATTTATTACAAATAATTTGTTACCTTTATTTTTATTGAGGAGTCACAGATTGTTCCAAGTGCTTTCGCTCAGGCAGATTAAATAGATCCTGCTGTGGGGAGCTCGCGGTTTCTAAGAATAAGACTGAAGATGGCATGGGGATTGCATGACAGCCTAATGAGAAAACGTTTCATCACAAGATCCTTGTGACGCGCGGTGATCTCGGCGCAATAGCCAGCAGTCTCAGGTGTTTGGTTGCAAATGAAATCTGTGTTTTGGGAATAGTTGGCATTAAGCAGAGATGTGTACGAAAAGCAGTTAGCTTGTTTAGCTGCATTTTGAAGAGATTGACAGCTTGGAGGGTTGTGAAACCGTAAATGTTAGTTTAGCAGGTTGATCAGTATTCCTGTGGCCCATAATAAAGCAGTTGTTGCACCATCCCATTCCTTGCTTTAAATAAGCCTCCGGTAACTGAGTGAGGGTGCCTCAAGCTTCACGTGTTTTGCACCACTTCTCTGAAAGGCAGATCCCTCGCACGTTGGGGTGTCTGAAGTCAACAGCCGCTGCAGAAAATCTTGACTCTGGTCCAAGCTGCTGATCCTGTGTGTGGTGGCATCCTCAGGCCGCGGTTAGCTCGCCTGTTTTTTGGGACGCGATGTGAAGCGCCAGGTGATGGTAATAGGAAGACTGGGACGTAATGAGGGTGTTGGGTACAGTGCTGGGGTGGGATGGGTGTCCCTTCCTGCCCTTGCTCCCAGGCTGTTGCCTGTCACTGGCCACCTCGCTTCCCTTCCCGTGTCCCAGAGGTTAATACGCTTTAAGGAAGGCTATTACAAAGCACTGAAAAAGGGGGGATATTTTTGTCAAGGATAAAGGCAAAAAGTCAAGTCGTAGACTATTTACCAGATACCCAAGGTTTCCATGGTTGCCTGGTGAGTAGAAGACACATAACTCAGTCTTGCCAGCAAGATGTGCTTGTCTTTAGGGTCCGCTTCCCTGAGTGTTTTCAATTCCTCTCTCACCTCAGTGTCAGTGATTCAGAACATGCGCTAGCAAGAGTTTCAACTTCTTCAAAGTCTACTCCTGAAACGGCACGAGTAGTCCATGAATCATCGTTGTGTAACTTCTGTGGACGTGGTTGACTCACTCGTGTTTGGTTAGAGAAATGTTTATTTAAGCTCATAATGTAGGTCTGGATGACAAAGGGGGAGATTTCCACCGGCACAGAAGGAGGTTGGCTCCGCGGCTGCCGTGGAGGTCGGTGGGAGCTGGCTACCTCCTCTTTGACATTGAGTTGTTGCCAACGTCCCAACGCTTTGTTTGGGAGCAAAAGGGAAGCAAGGCTAAATCTTTCCTCTGAACCTGCATTCCTGTTCAGATGCTTTTACCCAGTCTAGGTGAAATGTATTCAAGGTTAGGAAACGGTCTTCAGTTTGGTGTAATTACATGTGCCAGAGGATGTTTGCTTTCAACCAAGCTGCCATGTTTTCTGCGATAGGCTGCCCCCCGTGTCCCTTCTTTCATTTGCTATCTTGAGAGCAGTGAAGACTAGTTTCGTGCCACGCTCACTGCCAAGCTCCTGCTTGCTCTGTACAAACTGTATTGGTAATTTCTGTGGTACTAGCAGTTTTCCCAGAAACCCAGGCCCACTCAAAGAAGAGGGAATAGCTGGGTTCATCCCCCTGCCCTGCTCTCCTTACAGCTTGCATTCGCTCACATCCCCCTCCCACTTTCTTGCAAAGTCTTACGTTTCTATAAATAAATTCTCCAACGGTGGGCTGATAAAGCCATCGCATCCCCTTACTGTCAGAAAGGAAAATATGTACCAACAAGGAATCTAAAATAAAATTTGCCCTTTATCTTTTCATTTCCTGCTTCCATTTAAAGCATTTCACGTTAAATGTTTTGTCTCCTGCTGACGTGACAGCTGATGCTGTGCCTTATTTATGGGGCACAGAGTCAGGGTGCTGTGCCAGTTCTGGAAAGATCAACGTGAACCGGAGAAGAGAAAGCATGGCCAGTGAGTCCTGCCCGGAGGCGTCTCCCTCCGGCACATCCCCTGTCCGAAGCAATTGCTCCCCAACGCTTCCCCCGGGATTTCCACTGTGACTTCATTCAACCTTTAAAGAACGGCCTCCAGGTAGGTGTTGTGAAAGGTTTTTGTGCACGTTAATGAACGGACCCTCGCTACAGCAGAGCGCGAGGTGCGAGTCCTGTCCTCATCTCCCTACCCCTTGGAGGGCTGCCGGCAGCTGCAGAGCAGGCTCCAACACGGGGACCAGACCTCTGCGCTTAACCTCAAAGTTGCCCCTTATTTTTGTAGGGACGCTTCTGTAAGGCTGGTGAGGTCTGAGGCAAAGCCCACGGGTGTCTTTGAATTGGCTCTCCGAGACGAGGAGACCTCCAGTGGGTTGTGGAAATGTTGCTTGGCTTTAAGCTCGTCTCGCCCAGGGCCCCCCTGTGCTCCCCCTTACCCGGCTCCTGGCAGAGCAGCAGCTCCCTGGGGATGTGCTCTCGGGTGGCAGGACACAGGAGCCCCCGCTGACCTCCCCTCTGACGGAGGAGACCACCTGCCCTGAGTCACTTCGCAGCAACCTGCTGTAGGGCCAGATTCAGTGTTTACATCCCGGCTCCAAAACAGCTCTCGGCATCCAAACAGCAACAGCAGAGAAAAACACCCTGGGATGGTGAGGAGCTGCTGGCCGGGGGCTGGGAGCAGGGCCGGGCTCGCAGGGTGCAGCTGAGCTATTTCCATGTAAAACAGCTCCGAAACGGGTCCCAGGGGGTTCCCCGTGCTCCCTCCGGGAGAGCATGAGCTGCTTTGCTCCCAGCCGGGGTCCCAAAGGTGCCACCAGCAGCAAGGACGCCCTGACAAGGGGTTACGTGTGTTTGCCAGCCGGCAGGTGAGGCTCCAGCACCCATCAGCAGCACAAAGGGTATTTCCAGCCCCCGGGGCTGGCTCAGGGCGAGGGAGGGACCCAGTCTGGCTGCCTGGCCCCAGGGTGGGGGGGCTGTCCTGGCATCACCATGGCACGGCTGCAGCTCCTGTCTGGCACTCCTGCCTGTTCGGGGGGAGAAAGTGGAGAATAAAACAACAGGAAAGACTTAAGGATGGTCCAAAGCCTTTGGAGGTGGAAAGGGGAAAAACCTGCACTGTTGGCATCTGTGCAGGAGGGGAAAGGACGGGCGCAGCACAACGGGGTCGGCGTCGGCTCCCTGCGTGTCCTCGGCAGTTTTTGTTGTTTTTCTTCAATGTCCAAGGCAACCCTCAGTCACACAGCTTCACTCCAGCTCTCCCGCAGATATAAATTTAGTCCTTTAATATGAGAAGGGCCCTGCACAGGTCACGTCAGGATGAGGCTTGGTGGTGCTGAGGTTACCCGGGAGCTGGGGACCAGGCAGCCCTGGCTCACTCGAGGCTTGGCCTCCGCTTTTATTAATGACAGCGTGCGCACCCTGCCCCGAGTCCGTGCTGGGCTGGGAGAGGTTTGGAGTCAGGACCGAGGCTGCAGCCTGCAGGCTAGCAGAGGGTAATAATATCTTTGTGCCAGTAATTAGTTCCTAATTAGCATAGTTTTAATATGAGGCAGAGTTGCTCTCCCCTTAGAGTGCTCCGCTTTTTACAAGAAGCTGAGTAATTGCCTCTGCGGCCGTTTGGCAGCGGCAATCAGCTCGGCTGCCTGCCCAGGGACCCCGCAGCCGCTCACAGGCTCTGGTTCAGGCATCCTCCGTGCGCTTGTTTTAATGGAGCGATAACTGCAAAGGACATGTCTCCCGGCCCGGCGATACGCCCGACATAAAAATGACATTGCTTCAATTAACACATGCATTAAAAATACACACGATATCCAGCAGGACGGGCTTCTGCAAAGGAGAAGGGTGTGTGTCGGTGGCATGCTGCAGCAGCCGGGCACCCGTGCTGGGCTCCCTGGGCAAATCGGGGTGCTCGGTC